AGGTTGTGACCTGCTGAGCCGGGCAAACTCTGAGCACCTACCCTGGGGCAGGACCACCTGCTTTTAAAATCCTAAATTTCAGAAACTTAATGAATGGCATGGGATATGCAAGCGAGTTAAAACAGTGGCTGGGTCCCAAGTGGCAGCGGGTAAATCTATGATACTCACCGTTGCTGCACCAACTTTTAGCATTCTCTGCCATCCTATATGGCTATAGGAAGTAATCCCAAGGAAGTAAGTCTCACATTAAATCACTGACATTGGGAGAAACTAGAGAACTCTGACCAGGAGAAACAACTTCCTAATGTCAAAGGCACCGCCTTCACTTTCAAAATAACACAGAGAACAATGGCATTATCTGAAGCAGAGCCAATGAATCAGACACACCAAACTTAACAGTACTTTCCATCTTCGTCCCTACATACCTAAATAGTTTGCTTCTGATCGAACGACATCTAAAAGTATGAAACAAGGTCAGCCATTTGATGCAATAGGTAACTTGGACGGAGAATAGGTATTAGAAGGATACACTGGTTCCCACACTGGGTTTTCACTAGTAAAGAGAGATACTCACAGATTGAAGTTTCTTCTTAGCAGCTTTTGCCAACTCAGACAAATCCAGGCTGCTAAGAAAATGTACAAAACTAATGAGCAAATAAATAAAACCATTTTTTTTTGTGTGTGGGCTCTGTAGAAGTAGACACCCCAAAAATCAAGATATTAATTATAGTTCATGGACATTGTCAGAGCCAGCCCAGTAGAAGTCAGCGAGGAAACAGGCAGAATAACTTGGCGAAAGTAACTTCTTCATAAATTATACAACATGGTTAAGGGAAAAAAAAATCACCTACCAACTAAAAGACAAAAACTACTGCCAAGCCAATCTCCAGGCTCTTATGTGAGAAGTTACAGTTTTTTGAAGTACACAAAAAAGCATGATAGACAAAAATACAAAAAGATCAGAATGTGAAAAACCAGAATGGCAAGATCACATCTGGAATAGCAGGTGATCATTTCATAAACTCTTGAGAGTATTTGTGCAAAGGTAACTGAATAAATCATGGTTCAAGGGTCATTCCTGCATCAATGAGCTCATCTGACATTATAAACCAGGGGTCAGCAAAGGACATTCCACTTTTTTTTCAGCCCGTGAGCAAAGAATAGTTTATACATTTTTAAATGGTTGGTAAAAAAAAAAAAAAGGAATATTTCATGACACATGAAAATCATATGAAATTCAAATTTCACTGTCCTGAAATAAAAATTTATTGAAATACAGACATGCCCATTCATTTACATATTGTCCACGGATGCTTTCATACTACAGCAGCAGAGTTGAGTAGTACCAGCAGAGGCTGTATGGCCTGCAAAGCCTAAAATATTTACTATCTGCCCCTTTACAGAAAAAGTTTGCCGACCTCTGTTATAAAAAAAGGATATAATCTCTTATAACATAGAAATATTCTGTGAATATAATCTATAGATACAATATGCTGTCACAGCTGGCTAAAACAGTGACAATCCTACTGACTCCAACTGTCTTATTAGCAAATTTGTAACTTGTGCTCTTTCAAACTTAAGTTTTATATGGTGGTTTACTTACAGCCGTCTTATTTCCAAATTGTATAGCCATAAAAGAGAAAAATGTATGGGCTTTGTTAAACACAAAATACAATACACTTAACCACTAAACAACCAAGGAAATATTAGAAAGAAAAAATTAACTGGTATTTCAATTAGCCTTACCTGTCCGCCATTTGAGGTATTATAAAGTGCTGTCCATTTCTGTGATCTGAAATAGAAACCAAGCCAAAGTTTTGTTCATATAAATATCAGTAAATCCATAAAGGCAACACCACCATTATTTTCTCAATTTATGTTTTAGTATTAGTATTTTTTCATAATTATGAATTTGAGTAGGGGAACAGAAGTTGCCATTTAATCAGACTGGCTACAAATTTCCAAGAAGCTGGCCGGTTTCAAGGGTCCCATCCTCATTTTCTTCTGGTACAAAGGTCCAGACATGATCAAGCAGAAACCCTATGTTCACCCCAGTCCTTACGCTCAGTTTATTCCCAGTATAAACTGATGATCTTCAGGCATGGGAAGA